GCCCAGGTTTGCCCTTTCAGGGTCGACGAGGTATGGAGTGATAAGGGCGAGGATCTGTGTGTTTGGTGATTAGTTTGAATTTATTTTGATTATTCGAAGTATGCAGCTCCGAAAAAAAAGCGATGATACGATAGGTAACTCACATAGTTCCAAAGCCAGTTAGAGGCAGTGGAAAGAGCAACGCCTCGTGCACGGATAGGCAAGGGGAAAATCTCTCCGATCAACACCCACGCGCCTGGTCCCCAAGTGGAGGCAAATCCACAGATGTAGATGCAGACGAATACGATCAAGCATATGGAGGCTACGTTGGAGCCAGGGAGAGCAGTGCCAACAGCAGCAATGATGAATTCACAAACAAGCATAACCGCTGCTCCCCAGATAAGGAGGGTTCGACGCCCGAAGCGTTCGATGATGTAAAACGAGGCCGGTGTAGAGGCAACATTGACGACGTTGGTAATGATGGTAATTAAGAAGGCGTTTCGTATTCCACTTTGCTGGAAGAAAGTAGTTCCTGTGATGTCGTTAGCTTATCATGGGCGCTTGCGCATTATTCCATTTGATTTAGGGAGCATACCATAGTCTAGAGTTTGGAGGTTGAGTCAGAATTTATGTTCAGAATGATAGATGGATGATATAAGAGTATAAAACTTACAGAAAATAAAGTTAACACCAGTGAGTTGTTGGAACATCTGTAATGCAGTACCGAGAATAACGCGACGGAAGTTTCCGCTTGGGTTAAGTCCACCTTTGAAGCAGTCGATCCAGCTGGTACTGCTAATCCTGGACTCATATTCATAGTTGGCGACGATTTCTGCGAGCTCTGATTTGACGTAATCTGAATCGACATGCTGTCCACGGATGCGGGAGAGAGAGCCAGCAGCTGCGTCGAGCTTGTTCTTTTTCACGTAATAACGCGGAGATTCTGGAAGAAAGTAGAGCCCCACGCCAAGGATAAGGGCCCAGAGCAGCTGCAGCCCGATAGGAATGCGGTAGGACGCAGAGTTGTCGAGGTTTTGTGTTGCTTGGTTGACACAGGCGGAAACCAGAAGACCAATAGTGATAGCCCATTGGTAAACGGAGACCATGGCACCGCGAAACTTCTTGGGAGCAATTTCAGAGACGTAGAGGATCACGACTGACGAGATACCGCCAACACCCAGACCAGCAACAAGTCGTCCGCCAATGAGGGGATTAACCTGGGTTGAGGCAACCTGGATGGCCACACCGATTGAAAACAAGAAGGAGGAGAGCATAATGGTATAGCGACGACCGATGGCCTCAGCTATTGAGCCGGTAACGAGAGCTCCCACAAAAGTTCCAAGGGAGAGAACAGATACAATAAGAGACTTTTGCTGGGTTGCGATGTTGAATCCAGTTTCGTCGACAGACAGGGGGACGGGGCGGCCAAAGGTTCGCTTGAAAAAGCTCATGCCCAGGACGCCGTTGATGTAACCAGAGTCATATCCGAAGAGGATACCTCCAAACGACGCGAAGGCGCAGAGAATATATGCTCTGGCTGTCATGGGAGCCTCGACGCGGTTCACGTCAGAGGTCCATGTTATGTCATTTGGCGCCATGGTTGTTGCTTGGGAGCTGGGAACTTGCGGTCAACAGCTGCTACAGCTAATGTTAGAAAAAAGAAGAAAAAAAAAAAAAAAAAAAAAGGCTGCGCTGGATACTAGAAGGACAAATACAGTGGTAGAGGGACGAAGCTACGAAGAGCTCACTCACACACACTTTATAGACAGACCTATGAAGTTAAGTTTGTTCGAATAGACGATTACGAAACACGAGATTTTTCTGTTATTGGAAGCGATGGTTGTTCACACTTGTAGGCGATAAGAGGAGAGACGTCGTTTGTATGTAGTGAAAGTGAGGTGAAGGTGAGGAGGAGGAGGAGATCAAGATAGAGAGAATAGATAGATATGGTGGGAGTTGCGAGGTCTCGAGATCAGTTGGAAAGCGGGGGAGGAGGAGGAGGAGGAGGTTTTATTATGGAAATCCGACCAAACCATGTTCTTGTGCGTGGTAGAGCTTATAGAGCTTCTTAGCACAGCGTGTACCGTACCAGCAAACACCAACGGCTTTGGGCCTCTATATTTCTTTGCCATCCTCCTCTCGGGGGTTTAAAAAAGCATCTATGCGCGCTCCTCAACTTTAAACCTATTCTAAGTTCGCTTGTTGAACTGACAAGTGCGAATGAGAGAAACCAGAGACAACAGAGCGTAGGACTTGACTTTGAACCACGGTATAAACCTTCCATACTTTGGTCTAGAGTTTGATTGATCTCCGCGTGTCAAGCCTGGTAACTCTGGGTACAAAATGGTTTCTCCAGCCACTGCAAGAGTTAAACTTGGAATCTCTGCGTAGAAACACCTCTTGACGTTGGAGGGTCTGAATTCTTGTATAGGATCTAATCTATACCAACGGCAAGCCCCAGGGGTAAAATACGCATTTCTGGAGGAAAGTTCAAGATATCTCAAAAGAAGGTCTAATGATGGGCACTGATTCATGTCCCATCATCTTCTAACAGGAAGCTATTTGTAGTCTCTCGGTGCTGCTGTACAGCCCCAACCAAGAGGTGATGACGCCAAGATTCATAGCCCAGCGGCGTTGTGTGTTTCTTCCTTTGAAGCGCCACACACATATCATATCGTCAGGCAAGCAGGCAAGCAGGTAAAGCAGGTAAAGCAGGTAAAAAAGCAGTTAGTTCTTGAAGAGCAGTAATGAGATCCAATACCGGCTCCATGGTAACTAATCGTGAAATGCATGAGCGCTCTCTCCTTAGGGAGAGAGTTGGGGAGGTGGGGGAGATCGAAAAAACTCTCTGGTTCAAAGTTTCAGTCAGCTGTGGGAAACTCTGGTTGTCCATTTATTTAACCTTCGGCAATAGGAAACTTTAGCCCTGCTGATCATTGGCTCAACCGTTGAACTTGTTTTGCAGCGATATTTTGAAACTCCGGAGTAGCGGCAGCCCACACCTCTCACCTCTGGGGGGGGTGTGTAATCTGGGGGGGTGTTGCCAGAACGATCTCCTGGCCTGCACGCGGGTCCCACCTCTGTAATTAATATGTAGTTAATATAACCTACGCTGCATAGCATAGTTAGTTAGTTAGGCTAAGCTAGCTCCGAGAGTAATGAGAGTTCTTCTGAGAGAATTTAAACTACTTAAGCGCCGGCTGCGGCTCTGCGCCCTCGAAACTTTACCACCCCATCCGGTATCAGCCAGGTAGGTTATTGCGCTGTAAGTTACAAGACCGGAACAAGGTTTCATTGATTGAATGAAAAGGAAAAATAAAAAATAAAAAATAAAAAATAAAAAATAAAAAATCAAAAACAAAAATCAAAAATCAAAAATCAAAAATCTAGTGAGAAAGTCACAATGAGATAGTTATAGTTAGGATGCCATAGTTACAGTTTCACTCATGAGCTTCTCTTTTCCGTGAAAGTATTGCAATACCTGTCACGCTTCCCACAAGATCTTTGAAATCTAATTATGGATCATCATGAAGTTGCCTGCTGATATCCTTCCATCTCTCCTATTAATTCTTAGCAGCTTTGTCTCGGCATTGCACCTAACTCTGCAATCAGTTAGCACGTCAAGACCCGTTCAGGTGTTTGAATAGCATCATTATATATATATATATATATACATCTATCTCTCTTAGATAGAAACCCCAGGTTAAGGACCGTGTTTCTTGCTGAGAAACTTCTCATGCTAATTAAATGCAACGGTATTTTACAAAAGGGGGCGAGTTCGCCGGGGAAATGTCACCTCGCTAAGCCTGTTTCTGTTATGTTTCCCCCCCTCCGGTTCTCGACTAAATAAGTTGAATTAAGCCATTTTCAACCCATTTTCAATAAAATTCAAATTCAACTGCAACCTTGCGAATCCAGGACATAATAATAATTATAAGTTAGTTAATATACACAGTCAAGTCAAGCTCCAGGTTATATAAACTGAACTAGCTAACTGACTAAGTAGTTAGCGGCCAATAATAATAATAATAATAATAATAATAATAATAATATATCCATATGGGGGAATCCATGTCCATTTGTCCATTTGTCCAACCAAGTGTGGGGGGAGGGTGTCACGTGGGATGGGGCTTGTGGAGGAGGCTTAGCTTAGCTCAGTTTAACTCTGTGGATGATTTGTCATGATTATTTAATAATAATTTGGGTAAAATAGGTTAAAGAAGAGCGAGATTTTTTTGGCTCTAACCAAGTTCGGTTAGTGTTTTCATTTCCCGGACCGAACAACCGGTGGAATTGACCTCCATCTACTCCATCTACTCCATCTACTCCGTACATTGTAACATCATAACCACCGGACCGAACCTCTTATTATTATTATCATTATTATTATTACGATCATAATGACCTCCTTGCTTGAACCCATTGCCCAATCATGTCAATGAATGTCATGTCACCGAGAGAAAGCATGCGGGTTGATGCTTAATTGCCGTCGGTTGCCGGCCATCCCGCGCTTCTTCTTGCCAGGCAGGCTGGTCAGACAGATATTTAACGATATCAAATTACTAGCAAAATGAAATGAAACAATTTCCCTGCGGAATAATAAAAATAAAAATAAAAATAAAAAAAACCAAAAAATAAAAAAAAATAAAAGACATAATAATAACTGCACCATACCCTAAAACGCCAGATCACCTTATCCAAAAAAAGAAAAACCAAAAGAACGCCAGACCAGAGAACCATCATCTTATTATTCAACAAGGGAAAAGCAAAAAGAAACAGGATCTGAGATACAAAACAGTCCATCAAATATAAACAAACACTTCTGCTGTCCTCTCTACCTCCTCTTTTTTTTTTTTTTTTTTTTTTTTTTTTTTTGGTTCAACTTGAATATTCAATAAGATGTCTATGTTTTATTTCCTTGAAAGTCAGCAAAGGAATTTTCCATGCGCGCTGTTGTTAAGGCACACCAATACATTTAACGAAGCTGAAGGATATTGAAAGAAATAGGAGGAATACTCACCTCATTGCTCGTTTCTTGATCCACAGCTCTCGTCGTTACTCGATTGCACGGGATTCCCATCATCATCATCATCATCGCGCATCATCGCCATTGTTTCTTCAAAGTCCTCTGCTCTAAACTGACTCGCGTTAGGCTGGGCCGAGCTGGACCCTGTTGGTGACGGAATCTGCGCAGGCCCTCCGGGAGTATTTCCATTGTCCACCTCCATCTCTTCTTGACCAGGCTGGCCTATGTTGCTGGGTTGAGCCGAGCTGGACCCTGTTGATGATGGAATCTGCGCAGGCCCGCCGGGAGTATTTCCATGGTCCACCTCCATCTCTTCTTGACCAGGCAGGCCTACGTTGCTGGGTTGCGCCGAGCTGCTGGACCCTGCTAACGATGGAAGCTGCACAGGGTATCCAGGAGTGTTGTCGTGGCCAATCGGTTCTATCATTTGCATCGATTCATCGAAGTCTTCTGCTGTTAACTGACCCGCGTTGAGTTGGGTTGGGCTCAGCCGGGTTGACGCTGGAATCTGCCCAAGGTCTCCGGGAGTATTGGTATGGTCCATCTGTTCCGCATAACGTTGACCCACGTCGGATTGGTCGTCGATACACCTTGGGTCATAAAACTCAGTGAACCACGATCCGACAGACGTATCGAACTGTGCCTCGTCCGGAAGACCGCCTAATGCTGCATTCTCTGGGTTGCCATTCTGCGTAGGAGCTGTCTCCATACCGTTGGCTGATGCTGCGGGTACGCTAGGAGGGGCCCAATCTATCCTTTGACCTCGTGTGGGGTTCGCGGGCTCTTGAAACACAGCTGGGTCTGGAGACACACCACCATTACCGCACTGTAACTCGGCCGGATAAATATTTTCTCTGTTCTCTCGGTTGTCGTTCGCGTATGGAGCTGGATAGCCATTCTCCTGTGGCGCTGGGTGTACGCCTGCAGGCGTTTCAGCGGACGTGGGTACTGTCGGGTGTCCATTCGGCTGTGAGATGGGTTGAACCCGCGGCGCACCGCCGCTCTGGGTGCCCTGCTCCGGGGTCGGTTGAGATATGCTAGGTGGAATAGGTGCCAGCCCGCCTTCTCCATTCGACTGCGAGTGCGATGGTGGCTGGTTGGAAGTTGTACCAGTACTTCGCCTCGTTGCTCTTGGCTGCCCTGGTTGCGCGCGCCTCCTCACCCCTCTTGTCGAATTACCGCGGTTATCTCTCTTCAGTCTCCACATTCTTACACAAGGATCAATAGGAATAGTATGGCGTCGTATTGGGGCTTGTATCACGTATGGTTGAGGGGGTGCACCCACGCCGTGCCCGATTTGCGAATTCTGGATTTGCCGAGACTCCAAGTTGTGATATTGAGCGGGACGCTGTTCGAATCTTTGTGCATAGACTTGTCGATTCAGGGCCACGGTTGGCACTGGAGCTAAAGCCGGATACTGCCCCGTGGCTTCTCCCTCACCCGCCTTACGAGTAACCCTGTTGCTCCCTGCCTCGATATTCGCATGCTGTCCAGTGTATGGGCGTCCGGCATGCGCGGCATGCGAATTACCATTTGGTTGAGCGCCAGGCGCAGGGTCATGGATCACGCCATTTTGGAAACCATGATTACCATTTTGGAAACCTTGATTGTTCTGATCCATATGCTGGGCAGCATATGAGTTGCTTCGCTGAGGCACAGGGTCGTGGACCACACCATTTTGGAAATCATGATTGTTCTGATGCATATGCTGGGCAGCATATGAGTTGCTTGGCTGAGGTGCAGGAGCTGGATGATGGACCACACCATTCTGGAAACTGCGATTATTCTGATTCATATGCTGGGTAGCATTTGAGTCGCTTGGCTGAGGTGCAGGAACTGGATGATGAACCACACCATTCTGGAAACTGCGATTATTCTGATTCATATGCTGGGCAGCATTTGAGTCGCTTGGCTGAGGTGCAGGAACTGGATGATGAACCACACCATTTTGGAAACTGTGATTATTCTGATTCATATGCTGGGCAGCATATGAGTTGCTTCGCTGAGGCACAGGGTCATGGACCACACCATTTTGGAAACCATGATTGTTCTGATGCATATGCTGTGCAGCATATGAGTTGCTTGGCTGAGGTGCAGAAGCTGGATGATGGACCACACCATTCTGGAAACTGCGATTATTCTGATTCATATGCTGGGCAGCATTTGAGTCGCTTGGCTGAGGTGCAGGAACTGGATGATAGGCCATGCCATTCGGGAACCCCTGACTACCTGTATGGAAGCCATTTGGATTTCCCATATTTTCAATATTTTGATCATTGGCCGGCTGAGTACCACCGTTAGACGGGTGGTTGAACTGTCCATCCTGTGGAAACGGAGGATTGGCATTCGGCGGGGTGTTTTGACCCATTGCGTTGGGAGCTTGGACTCCCGTACCCATTCCATTCGAGGATGGCGGCATCGTGAATCCGGCGTTTGATGGATTCCGATGAACGGTTCCGGGGTCAGAAAATCTGTTAGGCGCTTGAGCGACAGGGGCAGGCGCATGGGAGTTATTGGGCCATGCATGAACATCTGGCTGATATCCTGGAATGGTCGGATTAACAAAACCCGGATTAGGGGCTGGTGCGTCCTGTTGATAGGTTTGGGGTGGACCGTGTGGATGGGTAATAACCGCCCCTGTTTGGTTACCTTCGAAACTTCCCGCCAGTACTCCCTGGTTAGGATGATGAATGCCGGGGTGCATGTCGTTGCTCTCTGGATTGGGATGCCCTACATTGGTTTGTTGGACTCCATTAAATTCCGAATGTGGCGGGACATTTAACCCGTCCGGCACAGGATGATGCGGAGCAGATGGGTGAGGCTGGGACGAATGCGGCGGAAGATGTTCAGGATTCATTCCAGGGAAAGGCTGGATCGTTCTGTTCTGGGGTGGCCCTACGTTGCCGTGTCCCCGATGGTTTGGTTCATGGAATGGCTCATTATGATGAGTTCCCGGAATGTAAGAAGGCGCTCTGGGATTCATCTGATGGTGAGCAACCGCAGTGTTATTCTGTCCAAGGTGGTTGGGCCCACGGAAGGGACTACCCTGCTGGGATCCTTGATTGTGGGGAGAATTTCCAGGGTTCACTTCATGAGGAGGTTGAGCCACTCCATTCTGGTTTGCGATCATATTGTTATTCTGCCCGATCTGGTTAGATACACTGAAGAATTCATTGTGATGAGTTCCCTGCATTTGGGGCGGAACTCCGAAGGTCACCCCATCAAGGGAGTGAGATACTCCATTCTGGTGTGCCATCATCGTGTTGCTCTGGCCATTTTGACTAGGCACATTGAAAGCCTCATTGCGATGAGTCCCGGACATTTGTCTGTTAGGACTGCTGCCGCTGCCGTTGCCGTGATTGTTGTTTGATACAGGCCCATTGCCGTTGGGAGCTGGTGGCTGAACTCCATATCCAGGATTCATGGGCTGAACACTGCTGTTGAGAGGTGGTTGCTGCACCTCATATTCAGGATTCATGGGCTGGATATTGCTGTTAAGAGCTTGTTGCTGCATCCCGTATCCAGGATTCATCGGCTGGATATTGTTGTTGAGAGGTGATTGCTGCACCCCATATCCAGGATTCATGGGCTGAACACTGCTGTTGAGAGGTGGTTGCTGCACCTCATATTCAGGATTCATGGGCTGGATATTGCTGTTAAGAGCTTGTTGCTGCATCCCGTATCCAGGATTCATAGGCTGGATATTGTTGTTGAGAGGTGATTGCTGCACCCCATATCCAGGATTCATGGGCTGAACACTGCTGTTGAGAGGTGGTTGCTGCACCTCATATTCAGGATCCATGGGCTGGAAAGACTGCATATAGGTGTTGTTATTCTGAAAGTGGTGATGCGCCCGCGTATGCGTTTGCGCATGGTTTGGTCCTGCGGCATGTGGAATTGGGGCCATTACGGTATTGCCATTTTGGAATTCGGTACCAGGCATGACGTTAACCTGATTAGCAAAGGCGTGCTGCTGTGGACTGACTCCTGGATGGACTGGCCGACCGTTTGCCTCAACATGGGGCTGCGGGACCTGATGGTAGCCGTTGTGAGGAGTTTGATGATTGACCTGTTGTACTCCTTGCCCAGTCCATGGTGCAGTGACCATATTGTCATGCACTGCATGCTTCACCTGAGTTTGGTTGGGCTGGGAAAATTGTTTGTTTTGGAACATGGTGACACCGTTCATTTTATCGTCTGTGGATAGTATAAATAGTGCTTTAGTGGAGCGAGTACTGGTTAAGATAAGAAGGGTATAGTAGCTATCGAGTCCGCTTGAATACTGCGTTGACGTGGTCGTTTTTTGTTGTTTTCTTTCGTTCCTTTTGGATTGGTGGAGAGGCCCGTTATCGATATTGGCCGAGACGGGGTCGGTGAACAAAGTACTCTGCCTCAGAGATTTTCGGTGGAAGTTGACTTAAGATAAAAGGGGGATATCAGCTATCAAGTAAGCTGGTAGTTTGTTGAAGTGGTTGTGCTGTTGTTTGCTTTCTTTCCTATTGGATCGGTGGTGAAACCGCTGATTGATATTGGCCGATAGGGGGTCGGTGAACAAAGTACTCTCAGAGCTTTCAGGGAAGGTTGAGTGAAGATAGAAGAGGTATATCAGCTATTGAGTAAGCTGAAATACTGTGTCAAAGTGGTTGTGCTGTTGTTTTCTTTCTTCCTATTTTGGATCGGTGGTGAAGCCCTTTATTGATATTGGCTGAGTGAGAGGGGGTTGACGGACAAAGTTCTCTATTTCGGAACTTCTTGTGAAGAGTGAGTTAGGATGAGAGGTGGATAGCAGCTATCTATGAAGCTGTGGTAATGTCTTGAAGTTGTTGTTTTGTGGTTGTCTTTCTTTCCTTTCGGACTGGTTGTGAAACCCGTTATTGATATTGGCTGATAGGGGGATGACGATTTAAGCGCTCTATTTCAGAGTGTCTCTTGAGGGCGAGCGATAGGAGCTCGTTGGCACGCAATGGTGAGTGGTTTTGACGAATGATTTATATGAGGAAGGAGTTAACGACGCTAATCTGAAAGTTTATGTATAGACAGTTTGGATCTAAATGATCATTGATGGTGTTGAAATGTCTTGCTTCTTTAGATTCAAAGAACTATGTGCATCTAAAATCACAGCGATGAAGTGAGAGTCAAGATAGACGGGGTTTTTTATGCAAACGAAGGGGTTGTGATGGTAGGTATGGGAGGGGATATGAAGAAGGGAAGGAGAGGAGAGAAGAGGGAAAATCGCCGGAAGGCAGCGGGCAAAACATGAGGCGCCACCGCGGCCAGCAAGCACAAGCAGTACAGTACTACTGCGAGAGCTTATCATTCGGGTTAAGCGCTACGAGTTTGGCTCTACGACGGTGACCAATACCTTTTAAAGATAACCTTTTCCAGTGCCATACATGCCAAAACCCGATCACCCAAGGTATAGGACGAAATGGGATGTTCGTCATGTATCTCGCAGCGCCCGATGCTGCATTGGACCCTTACCGTGGGCCCCGTCTATTGGAAACAAAAAAGATCGGTAGCAGACCAACATCCTTTACAATGAGGCCTAGTTGGGAGCTGGCGATGTAGGGTTTACTATGATGGGAACTACGGCTATGTCCTCCCGTTTACTACGAACCCGGGGTGTTATTTGGCATATTGCACTATCTATACCTCCTACGCTCACATTTAGATGGATTGTAATTGTTTTCACTGGCATCGCGCGGAATATCCCTCTTATCTACGGGAGATGGAAATGTCAACAACCACACACAGAAGCTAGTCTACGGGCTTGTTACAGGCGATAGGTGACATCTGCAACAGCAACAGCAACAGCAATACCGGAATATTGGATAGTTTTACTATCCTACCAACAGCAGCATATTCCGGAGTGAAATATTTCGTGAGTATGTAGTAGTATATTATTTTTTTAGCGCAGGCCAAGACCGCTGTTGCGACCAATCAGAGAAGCTCCGTATGAAACAGCGTATATACTCCGTACAGTACCGTTATTTACCGCTTCCCCTGCCTGCCAGCTCCTGGATGACGTCAAAATTGAGCGCCCTGATTGGCTTTGCGAGGCCGGGGTATAAACTTAATGTGAATTAAAGTAGTCGATCAAAACGTCTAGTCTCAACGGCTAAATTACATGACTTCGTCGTGGCCGCATGTCCAGAACGTACATTATCTACATTTATTAGTGACATTCCTACTAGACTGGGGTTGTGGTGAAGAGGTAAAAGCACTATACTATTGTCTTTATGAGTTGCTGAGAATGAGAGCTATGTATCTTGGGTAGCGCTCGAGTAGAGCGAATGCAGATATTTTGGAAGACTGTTAAAATATCCGACCACATATTATTCCCCACCAGTCGTCCAACGGCTCGAGATATTTCAACATTTACCTGAAAGGGCTAACCTTGCGGCCGGTAGATGGCCCTGCTGGAATTTACGCTTTTGAGGCCGATCAGTGTGTGGATACCCGAACACTACCCACTTTCGAAGGCTGAATAAGCTGGCATCGCAGTGGAGAAGATTATTGCTGCCAAGTTTTGCCATGTATACACGAAGGCGGAGAAGAATCAGTGAACCGTGAACCTTTAGACTGTTGAGTTTGTTGATCTTTGAAGGATACGATTCAAACGCTTGCTCAAAGCCACCGGAATTTATGTGGGAACTACCTGGGTTAGTTCTTGCCAGAGTACGGTGGCGTGTAAGAATAAGAACGGTTTATGGCTGGCCAGCTAAATCCAAAACCCAGTCTTGGTGCGAGTGGAAGCGGATAGCCCAGGAGGATTATGATTTCTTCTTCAGCAAGTATAAGTATAATTATAGTTCCGTCCTGCTATTCAGCACGAGAAACTAGAGTTAAGTTTGTCTGTTCTCTACGCTAGGGAGTTAAGCTTTTTAGGGCTGATCAGTTCCCAGCGAATGGTAATGTACTGTACATGTATGTACGTACATACATACTTCCCCATCTGCAAGTATCCAGCCACGTGAAACCTCAACGGCAACTGTGCAACGGGGCTGGGATCATATACCCACTTGATCTATATATCTCAAGAGGCGTTCTTGTTCCATCCACTAAGTAACCCCAAATTCTGGGACAGGCCGGATACCTACTGAGGAAAAGTACTAGCAAAGCGTCAATACGTCGGAATCTACCTTGCAATTCTGATAGCAGAGAGAGCTGGTCAGCGGGTGAGCGAAGACGAAACGGGTAGGTTCTGATAGGCGATCTATGACTCGGGTTTGAACCGCATGGATGTAGGTATGTGCATACATGTATGTACATGAACAGTATGTACCATGCCCTAAACGTTATTATGCCTAGCAGAAGAATCCTTCGAGCAGAACACTGAATTCTAAAAGCGGATATGAACTTTCACGCCACCGTTGAAGTATCCCAGAAGCACACATGAACAGTCAGCGAATTCGAAGATCATGGGCTGTGCAATCCCTATCTGGTTAGACACTACAGATCTGTATTTTGAAGCTTATCGCCGCTTTGGGACTAAATATGGATGTCGCTCCAACCCAACCCCAAAATAATTTTAGTTCTCTTCGGTCGAAATCTTACTACCTACCAACACCAACCCTAATTCGCTTGATATGCCAGAAAGAGATTGAAAGGAACCTATAACTACATTTGAGTCAATGGGGATTTTCACGCTTTCACAGTTATATCCGATATCTAGACACACACACCAATTAAAATTGATCTCAGACCGATTTCACAGGATCTACATAGGTTAGTGCATTACATTACCATAGATAGTTTAGTTTATGTAGACACTCGAGGTTGCTATTCTTAGCTATACAGTAAATTCCTGGACACTCAATTATAGTGAACCAATGTATGTACTGTACTATTGGCTGTGCAGATATCTAGACACTCTAGCTCTAGAAATCCCCTCAGCTTTAGAGGTCTCTAATCCGTAGACATCTCTACAATGGCTAACTTTCCTACCCACTAACGGTTTTAGCGAAGAGAGTCCCCATTATAAATAAAATAACTATGGCTAATGTGTGTCCGTACTCGCTCTAAAATCAGTGTCGAAGTATCTACATCTCAGACTCTAGCCCTAAATTAAATAACTAGCCGCGGCAATTACGTCATGTGATGGTCGCCTGAACTTGGAACCCCAGCAACAAATTAAATCCAGGAGGAAAAAGGTAACGAATTACCTCGACCTGTATATCAACCCATCTTTGGAGATCCCCTTCCATCTTCCGTTGCGGTGTTATTTTGTTATTATCCATGGATGCCTCAAATCCTACTGGCAGAACTGAACAAGCTCTGTCATCGCGCAGCATTCTCGATCGCGCTGCGGCGAGTTTTGGCAATGATGATGTCGAGGTGCTACTGAAAAATCCCTGGGAAGCCATCGCGCTGATTGGGCATGCCTGTATGATTGCTGTTGACTTCAGGCTGATTGGCCTGGAGGAAGACCACAGAATAGGTTTGGGACTTCCCTTTCCGTTTGTCTTCACAAGTCGATCTGTGCAGCTGAACCAGTCTAACTGATGCTCCCCACTCTATAGAATCTCAGGAACCCTCGTCGCCGCTACTACCCAAGGAGTGGAACGCCAGCTCCACCTATGCCTTCAAATATGCCCACACGCAATCATCTATGCAGTTCTTGCTCAAAATCACTCGACTCGGTGGCAACGCAGTCATCTACGCGCTGGCCCCTTGGCCATGACAAGACAACATCCTTTGACGTCCCTGTCAAGATTTCATCTCTGAGTCAGCCGTCCCCTTGTCAAAATCCACCGAGGAACTTACCCGGTCGCTCGAGCAAGTGTTTATTTCGTCGTCGCGACTCAGCGATTTGATCGCCCTGTTTAAAATCAATGTAATCCAGAAACTTGCGCCGGGTCTACAAAAGGAGGGATATGAAGATGGGTCCTCCTCTAGTCGAGAACAACGTGAACGTGAATTAGAGCAACCAGTACGACAGCCACGACAACCGGTAAGAGATCCTCTACGGGACGATCGTCACCCGGAACCAGCCCGCCCGATTCCCTTTGGTGATCCACTTGCTGCACCCCCACGACGGCCGCCAGTCCCAGCAGGTGATTTCCCCCCGCCTGGGTTTGAAGATGAGTACGAGATAAATGTCCCTCCGCGCGGGTTCCACCCGGGAGGAGCAGGTCACGGGCCAAGGAGACCAAACCTTGGAGAGCGCGATCTATATCCCCCTGGTCTGGGGCCTCGCGATCCACTGGTACCTCACTTTGGGCCGCAGGGTGGGGGAGGCATGCATCCGACATTTGATGACCCCATCTTTCAGCATGGAGGTGGTAGAGGTGACGGTGATGAATATAACCCTCAAGTTCCTCCTGGGGCAAGGTACGATCCTATTGGCCCCGGGGATGGGCCACCGATGGGACGAGGTCGGGGTGGCCCTGGATTCCCGGGCGGTCGCGGTGGATTTGGAGGTGGATTTGGCAGCGGAGCATTCGGAGGAGGCTTTGGTGGTGACATTATTTAAGGGTATGATGCATAACTACCAGCTAGCTTGCTACGTTGCTAATTATGATATGATGTGTGAAATCACGCTTACGCTAACATCTGTTTGTGACATGAATTTGTATATCCTATTGTATGTACTGTACATAATAAGTAAATCACATGGCAAATGAAATACTCACGGCTTTGAGACCTGCAAATAACAAAAAACACGATGTGGAATAGCATCCATTACAGTAACGATGGCGCAGCTCCTAACTGTGGCTGGTGCATTTTGCGGCTGTGGCGCGACTGACTAACCTGAATCTCCAACACAACAAAAGAAGAAGAAGAGAGACCAAGAGACCAAAAGAAACGCCATTATCAACGCCTGTCTCAGCAGCTACAGCTCTACTCGCTTCTCCCGCACTGGAATAAAGCATTGCTACGACCAGACCCTCTCTCTCCTTCATGATTTGTTGATACCCAATTCCTTCACTTTCTGCTCCTTGTTCCCTTGCTTCCCCCACGCACGCGCCCACGCACCGCCCGCTGCTAACGACACCCCTCCATCCATTCGGTGATACCTGACATCACCATAGTCTTGTCTCCTCCCGCCTCCCCCCCAGTCCCTCTTTTCTTTTCTATGGACAATAAAATGGAGATCGATTCAGGACGATCACCCGAGCCTCACCACCTCTCTCCTACAAGCGATCCAGAGTCAATACCCACGCTGGATGGCTGGATTGAGAGCCTGATGACCTGCAAGCAGCTGGCTGAGCAAGATGTACAGAGATTGTGCGATAGGGTGAGTTTCTATTATATTTTCCGCGGGAGCTCAAGGAAGAATGGGAACAATAGCGCTCAAAAGCACGATGGCGATAAATCTGTGCCCGGCTTTTTGGGATGCTCTTTATTCAGGTTTAAAGTTAATGCTGGGTTTTCTCCTGCAATATAGGCGAGAGAGGTACTACAAGAGGAGTCGAATGTTCAGCCAGTGGTATGTATCCCGCCGTCCGTCTTGCATCTAACTTATTAGCGGTGCATTTGTTCCCGTATGCTAATCCATGGTTTATTCTCTCACAGAAATGCCCAGTGACAGTTTGCGGAGATATACACGGCCAGTTCCATGATCTCATGGAGCTGTTCCGTATCGGCGGCCCTAATCCTGATACCAACTATCTTTTCATGGGTAAGAAGAGCGAGCGCTTTTGTTCCCCCACTTACTTGTCCTTCTGTATGCTCATTTACTAACCTATTATAACAATTAAAAGGCGACTACGTCGACCGTGGTTACTACTCCGTCGAGACGGTGACTCTCCTCGTCGCTCTGAAGATCCGTTACCCACAACGCATCACGATCCTCCGCGGCAACCACGAATCGCGTCAGATTACTCAAGTCTACGGCTTCTATGACGAGTGCCTGCGGAAATACGGCAACGCCAATGTCTGGAAATACTTCACAGATCTCTTCGACTATTTGCCCCTCACCGCCCTGATCGACAACCAGATATTCTGTCTCCACGGTGGTTTGAGTCCGTCCATCGACACCCTGGACAATATCCGCTCGCTGGATCGGATTCAGGAAGTGCCCCATGAAGGCCCCATGTGTGACTTGCTCTGGAGTGACCCGGATGATAGATGTGGGTGGGGTATTTCGCCGCGTGGCGCTGGCTATACCTTTGGGCAGGATATTTCGGAGGCGTTTAATCATAACAATGGATTGACCCTGGTTGCAAGAGCTCATCAGTTGGTGATGGAGGGGTACAACTGGTCGCAAGATCGAAATGTGGTGACTATATTCTCAGGTGAAACTCTCTCTTTTCCTCTTACAATTTCCTATCTTACTTTAGAAGCAACTGTTTAGGATATAGGCTAACATTTTTTTTTGTCGCGTGTGCGTCCATGTGTTTGGATCAACAGCTCCGAATTACTGTTATCGATGCGGCAACCAAGCTGCCATCATGGAAATCGACGAGCATCTCAAATACACGTTGTAAGTGGACCCTCTCCCTCTCCTCCATAATACCACACCCCTCCCGCAAACAAATTGCTGACCCTAGATCCCTCCCCCCTCTCTTTTTCTTTTTCCTACGCTCCAGCCTCCAATTCGACCCTTGCCCACGCGCTGGAGAACCCATGGTCTCCCGCCGCACGCCAGACTACTTCCTCTAGATAGAAATCATGTTCTCATCCAATGCAACAATGCAAACAATGCAAAGCACCGCGTGCCTATCTATTCCTCACTCAACCTTTTATACCTAATTACTTCTCCCTTTCTTTTTCTTTTTCTTTTTTCCTTTTCTATTTTTGCTTGTGTCTTCTGCGCATTTTACAGAGAGAGATAAAAAGCAAGAAACGAAAGAAACGAACCAAAAACTCAACACAAAGAAGAAAATTAAATTTCCAGCTTCATCTTTAATCAGTTATTTGGGTTGCAGCAACATTACCATTTGATTTGCAGCTCGAGACTTTTTGCCTTTGCCCGCTTTTTTATCTTTCTTGTCATTTTCTTCCCCTCCCCCCGGTCTTTTTACTGTTTTTGTTTTCTTCTTTTGATATTATGCAGATATAGTAGTAGGTTTTCTTCCCTCACCCTTCTCTTTTATCTTGACGTTGTATGAATGAATAAATCCCCATCCGAGCGGCTGAGTTCATGCTCCGGGTGGGGGGATGGGATGGGATCAAAAAACAAGACGCGAGGCGGACAAGAATGCAACGGGGGGGAGTACAGAGTTCAGAAGTAAATAGTCGTGACAACATGATATGCGTAATAGTCTTCTTTTCCTTTCTGCCTGCTTTTCTTCCTCCTTCCGCGTTGTGAGATGGGCGGGGGGGATGCGGGAGTGGTCTTAGGGTGAGGGAGGATACCTATGGAAGTTCTCAGCGCTTATGTAGATGTTACATTGGGAGGGGAGACTGACTTTCTCTCGTGCGTATGAGAGAAAGGATCAGCGATGCTGTCTGGATGCGAGGCTTTGGTAGTTACAATTATGTCCCCCACAACTCGACCAGGTTACAGAAACATCACCGAATTCCATCGGCAGCAAGCGAGGACCTGTGGCGCAACGGTAGCGCGTCTGACTCCAGATCAGAAGGTTATGTGTTCAAATCACATCGGGTTCATCAGATTCTCTTCTTTTTTTTTTTTTTTTTCCCGTCCACGTTGTCAAGAGTAAGCATCGAGTGTTTTAACTCTTGAGGCAACTTAAAAAAACCTGAACATGGGTTCGTGTCAGGCAAGGGCGTCAATGACCTTTGTTACAGAGCCATGGTGACCTGTTTGTCCAAGAAGAACAATTATCTGTTCCTGCGAGCAAACCAAGCCTGCAATGAGCTCTGGGAAGCTTGCGGAATGATCTTCACCAACTGGGTGTTGCTATTGTCCAATTTCCCAGTGCCACATAAAGCTTTCCTCCCACTTGCTCCACACCAATCATCATGTGCTTAAATAATTGCTTTTTGAGATAACTATATGAATGACCATTCACTCACAAAAAATGAATCAAGTCACCAACAATCTTTGCATCATATGTCTTGCCTAGTAGTCTCTCTGGAATCATCTTGCAAATGACAGGAGCCTAACAATGATCTTGAACAACCACATCATCAATTCAAAACACTGAAGCTCGGGCGGGTCCCCATCAGTATATTGGGATAATCTGTCAAGAATTTGGTTGATCTAGGACACTTTATGAGAATTCAGTCATGTAACTAACAGCTCTTCGAACAGGATGATGGAGTCAGAACAACATTGTTGTCAGCCACTAACTTGGACAGCTTCCATGCGACACTAAAGCATCATTGCCAGCTATCTTCTCTCAACCCCTTGAGCGGCTGCAAGCCTGAAACTCTTAAGGAGATAAAGAAGCTCTCCAGGCGGGGGTGAGCCTGACTTGTCTGACCTTAAGAAGGTATGTAATTTTAGCAGCATACTGTATGACACTCATGCTGATATTTACATCAAATCAGTTCCCAGATCCTTGTATTCGTTTTTATTGATCAATGAGCACAAGTAGTTCAGGCTGCCAGAAGTGACATGCAGGGTCTGCTTCAGATGATAGTGACAATAAGATCACTACAAAGACTACAAGCATCAAGCACTACACTCTATGATCAGAACTTTCAACAACATTAGTTGATCATGGTGTCTATCTGAATATAAATATCACAATGGCCAGAAACTGACATAACTGAATAACTGACTCGAGCTCAATGAATGACTGACACAACTCTGAGCTTCTCTCACTCTCAAAGTTCTCTAAGCAAGAATTTGATCACTTTTTTGATGCTCAGTTTAAGCAGATAAATCATTAAATCTGTGATGAGCTTAGCAATTTCATTGTTCTGTCAACACAGAAAGATCTTTCAATAGTTTCATCAAACTTCTTGTAAGAGATTAAAGACTCTGATGAGTCATCTGCCGTTGCTACAATGACAAGCTTGTTACAATTTGCAATGAGAGTTTGAGAAATATATAAACTTCAGTCATACAAGCAGGATGAATCTGTCTACAATAACATAATTTACATAATAACATTAATCTATCAAGCTGATCAACTCAAGCTCTATACAACATATTCTATCACTTCTTGAGAAAGTGATGATTGCTCTGAATACATTATGATCCTGCTAAGATCATTTGTGATGACTGATAACTCAGATACTTTTCAGAGCAGGGCATGTGTGTATCAAAATGTGCAGGATTGGGCAAAGAAATGAAGAGATGAGTGTATCAAATCTGCAAATGAGACACACATGGAAGTACAATCAGAACTCCTCTCTATATCTGAACATGAGGCAATCTCTGAGTACATCATTATCCTGGAGAACTCTGATACATCAGTCATGATTGATGAAGCTGAGTTTCATTATACTGCATCATGGAGCTTCACACACACAAATGACACATATATCACATCCTCATTGCCATTCAGTTGGCTTTCAGTCAAGAATATCGAGGACCCATCGCAGAAGCAAAAAGCCGCCCTCGTCAGCATCAGCGCCCCAAACGCAGCCCGTCGTGCAATTCGACGTCACTGCCGCCCCAGGTGCCGCCCTCGCTGACCTCCAAACCGCGATCGAAGCCTACCTCGGCCCGGGATGTGCCCATCGATTTCCTCTTCGCGAACATCGGCTATGCCTCCCTCAGAGGTGGAGAAGGAGATGTTTGTGCAGATTGGGGTGAAGAGTACGCCTGTGGGGAGGATTTTCGAGTGCGGAGGAGGTTGCGAGCGCGGCGGTCTCTATAGGGTTCGAAGCTACTTTTTCGATGGGGACGGAGTTCTTGGCTGCTAGGGGGTTTGAGGACGTTGCAGAGGGAATAAGGGAAATGTAGATTGACTAGGGTGGGTGGGTTGTGTTTTGCAGAGTTTGATTCTTTTTTAGGGATAGGAAGTGGGAGTTTGTTTTAGACGGGTTGGGATGGTAGGGTATTAAATGGAATCCATTGGCTGGGAGATGTCTATCTATCTATCTATATATGTAAAGGATATTGTGCAAAAAAAGTGCAAAAAAAAAGGGAAATTATCGCGGAGCCATGTGCATGTATGAGAGAGGTGAAATGAGAACATCATTATCTTCAAATGCGGGGCAGAAGGAAAACGCCAGTGGGTACTGTACTCCCGTATATTTTATATAGGAAAAAAAAAAAAAAAAAAAAAAAAAAAAAAAAAAAAAAAAAAAAAAAAAAAGAGAGAGAGAGAGAGAGAGAGAATTTCCATGGTCTATACAAACAAGAAGAAGCATGAAATGTATGAATCATATAACCTATTAACAGCATTATACCTCACGAAGCGGACTCAGGAGCTCGGCTGGTTTCAGAATCGGAATCTTTCTCATCTACATTATTAGTAGTACTGTCAACCGTGTAAGTTCGCACTTTGGAACTGCCGTTGGGGACGTGGAATCTCAAATCCACCCGTGAAAAGAAGTAGAGAAACACGACCGTAGCTTCGATGCCGAAATTAAAGATATAAAAGCATGCCCTGTGGTGATACCACGCTGGATCGTTGGCCATGCGTGGAGGCATGAAAGTCGTTCCTGCACGGAAACCCGCTCCGAGACACAGCAGTAGGGAAGCGCTAGCTGTGATGAGGACCTTTGCCCTGAGGCTCCCCTGGCCGAATTGCTCGGTGGGTTGGCGACGCGGGGCTAGCACGATGAAGGCGAGCAAGGGGATTGGGAGGAAGGAGACGAAGGTGAAATAGGACACGCCCCACCATTGGAGATTGCGGTCGGTCAATCGGATGTCTGTGTCTAAGGTGTAGAAACTTTGGACGGTGGCTGTGATAACCATCACGAGGGTCAGTCCGATGAGGACGAAGAGCGCCTTGAAGGTGTAGGAGAATGGCCGTGACCAGCCTATGCGCGGATGGGTGGCGCAGAAGATGCGCTGGGTGTACAGGAGGTTAAGAATGAAGAGTAGTAGAACGCCCGCGGCAACGAAGATCTGTGCTGCGATTGCGATCTGGGTGTTGGTCAGGCGGTTCGCCCATACGATCCGGAGCACGGAAGCTGTGATTCTCGTCATGCAGACGCCGAAGGTTGCTGCTGATGGTATGAATTTATGGCCTCGAGTCATGTTTTTTCGGAAGAGAGCCATGTGGCAGGCAGCACCAGTGATAAATATCGCGAGGAACACTGCGGTAATGGGGACGTCTACAGAGGTTGACGGTCGACCTCCCATGCCTGCAGTAGTAGGGGGGTACGGAGGGCCAGGTGGAGGGCCCATGGGCTAAGTCGTGAAAGTAATTGTCAATTTCAAGGCATCTCTCTCGGCAGAGATGTCATTCATTAGTTAGATATATAAAAAACTGCCATTTCATACCTTTCCCCCTGGGGGCCCGGGTGGGAAACCAGATTGTTGAGACATCCGGAGGCTTCTCTCGCCTGTTCTACAGGGTGACTTTGACTTTCTTCCGATCTGGCCAGAGGGGCCTGAGCTTTCTTTCCCACGAGGGTGAATCTTGAAGAATGCCTGGCTATTGTATGCCCTGGACTTGAAAAGGAGTCGCTCTGGGATTAAAAATAATGGAGCTAAGGGCAAAATGTATTAAACCAAGGGAGGCCTTTTGTTCCTGAACAAGGCCATCAATATTGACAATCCAAGTAATGTACTCCGTATAGAGCTAAGTCAGAGTCAGGTTAGTTTTCTCCATTTTGAGAAAGGAGGCAAATGCCTTTATGTATTTATTTTTGGCGCAAAGGGGGATAAAACTTCAAGTTCTTCAAACCGCGATCTAACCACGATCTAACCACGATCTAACCACCAGTGTGGAGGAGCGGCCCATCTTGTTCACCGTCGGCAGAAGGGCCAATTCTCCCCGACGGGCTGCTGGCCGAATACCAATCATAGCTACAATAATAATAATAATAAATCATGGCGGACAGGCATGGCAAAGCAAAGGTGTTCCGGCATAGTTAAGCAGCTCCGAATCGCATCTTCTTATGTTATTTAACCAGGCCCTAGATGCTAGTTAGATGATTTGTAACGTAAGCTAAGTGCTCTCACCTGCAATCTCTGTCAGACCCTGATATACAAGAGTCTTCCATCTCAACAATTAATATTTACGCCGTAGAGATTATAATAATAATAGAGAAAATAAATTTGAAAATAATCTCCCGGGTTGGAATGTTGGATGTTTGGGTTGGTGGCTTAGTCAGATAACTCGGCACATCGGGGGTTACAACCCCCGGGTGTATACAGAAAACTTGACCTCGCTTAAGTGCGCCACTTGACCTCATTACATAATCATGACCCTGACCTCACACAATACAGTAATAACAGGAAGCAGAAAACTGTTGGCCCTTACGGCCGTTGCGGTTAGCGATCCCACTAGATCACGTGACCCACCACTATAATATGTTTCTGTAGATAGATCTATCAATACAACCTTCAACTATTCTACAGATTATAGCCTGAATGACACATTTTTCTTTTTAGAACATTAAATCAACATTTTTGACATGAATAGTTCATCTTTTTTGAAAAGACTCTTACTCTTTATTAGAGATATTTCATTTTCTCTGAATCTGCTGATCAGTAGATTTATATACTTTATTTTTTTTAAGAAAGCACATTCTTCATTGTGAAGAATATTACTTTTTATCACTTTTTTTTTTTTACATATCTAGAAGAAGTAGAGTCATCTTAATATAAGTAATATATCTGTTACTTCAGAGTTCAGCTTAAGACTCAGAATTACACACTTCACTAGATAACTTATTAATAGAATAATCACTTATTATGAGAAAGCTTCTGACTTGCAAGATAAGACTGAGATCAGTTTTTATCAGAGTATGAAATTTAATAATGATGAGATAACAGAGAAACTTCAGAATAAAGAAAAACAGAGTTAACATTTATCTGTAGAATCTATTCATTTTAACTCTTTAAATTCTTCACTATTTCTCACTCTCAGAATGCTGACTTTTAACAGTGATTCAAATCAATCTATCTATTACACTGCAGGCAATCTTATGAATCTTATACAGATAATACTACAGAATCAAATAACTGCAGCTGAAATTACTTAACATCTCACTATATCTATCTCTGTATAAAGAGATACTATAAGAAATGAGTTACAGAAATATCAGAAGAAAGTTAAATATACACTAGATATTAAATCAGTAATTATATTTAATGACTCTAATTATAAAGCCTGATATGTTGATATATTAACTGATATAAAAGTTATTAATGAAACTGACATTCTATTGAGAACTCAATGAGAATTCTCTTTTACATATCATATCAACTCTGAGAAGTGAAGGATTTATTTCAAGTCTCTATATAGATATATACTATCAAGTCTTATTGAAAATGTTCAAATCACTATTAAAATCTTGAAAGCTGATAATACTGCAGCTCTGTGAGATAAGATCAATATTAAATATACAATATTACTGACAGAAGAATAAGTTAATATCTTCAAGAAATTGATAAAATTATAAGTTAAGAAGAATGATTATCTTACTTTTCAGAGATATTTCTGCTATTTTATTACTTATTATAAGAAGCTCTGTCAGAGCACTGAGAATATATACTATGATCTTTTTCTCAACAATCTGCAGAATTATCAAAGATCATTTATTAAGATACATTTAAATAAGTTTTTCTTCACTAATCAGAAACTCATTGTTAATATTGATATCAATGATTTGATAAAGCAACTGATCAATTGAACATTTAAGAAGATTATCACTGAGTGAAAAAAGCAGTCTTAGACTGATTCTGTGACTGTGAAAAAGAACAAAGATAAAAATAAAGATGAGAATAAAAGCATATCTATATAAAAGTGCACTCACTGTAGAAGATATAAATATACTGTTAACAGGTGTTTCATCTTACACTCTGATAAAAAGAAAAAGAAGAATGACAAGAAGAATGACAAGAAGAAAGAGAAGAAGAATGACTTGATAAGTTCTTAATCAGCAGTGAATGCAGTAATTACAAAGATTGAGTTCTACTTCTTCTTCATAGTTATCAGAAAATCATTCTCTAGATCTTGATATTTGAACACATGTGTAAGTCTGAATATAATGAGTGAGCTTCATTCTTTTTCAAATATCAAATCTTTTAATAATAATATCTCTGTCAATTCTGTGACTGAGAGAACTGAGTTTGTCAAGAAGATTAGAACTGTTATCTTGAAGATTGAGAGTGATAATATTAACTTGCAGAATGTTCACTATATTTCTAATATTACAGTTAATCTACTCTCATTTGTAAAGCTTGAAGATCAGAGATTTTAATTTATATTATCTTTCACTATTCTCTTATTTTTCATTTACAGAGCTCTGAACAGCATTATTTTTCATGCAGTTTGAACTGCTCAGAATAATATATATAAGATCAATGAATGAAAGTTCAATGAGAATCTCAATCATCTGAACAAGATAGTCAAGTATATTATAATGTCACATAAGTATAATTTTGACTGAAAAGTTAATCTTTCTATAACTACTGCTACTACTGTTAATAACATTGATTCTACAGTTCTGAATACAGATCTCAAGAATACAAGAATATCAAAGACTCTTTTGAACTGACACTGTGATCTCAGTCATATTCATGCTGATACTATAATTACTATGATCAAGGATTTTCATACTGAAGTTACAATTAAAGACTCTAAGACTAAGTTCTTTTGCAAGAAATGTGTCAAGACTGATATGACATAAGATTATTTGAAAACATCAATGCCTAGATCTATTTAACTCATTGAGAAGATTTATATTAATCTTGCAGATAATAGATATACATTGAAAGATCTCTCTGATTATCTCTTAGAGTCTCATCAGGAAATAAAATACTGAATGCTTATTATCTATGATGCAATCTGCTATCATTGAGTGTATTTTTTAAAGTTCAAGAATGAGACTGTTCAATACTTTGAGTTATGACTCAGATTCATAAATAATCTCAGATATACAATTCCTGCTTTTCTATGAACTGATATTGATGATGTTTTCCAATTCACATATATACACACAGTTATGAATTTATATAATATCAAATGAGAACTAACAGCATTATATTCATCACATCAGAATGGCATTTCTGAACATGAAATCTGTACTATTATGAAACAGATTAGAGCTGCTCTTTTAAAAGATAATCTTTTCAAGAAGTTCTGAACAGATGTTCTAGAGACAGTGATTACAATAATTAATAATACTCTCATATCTACAGTTCTTTACAACTTGAAATTTTAATCCTCTACTACAGAGATCTCTGTAATTTCAAGTTCACATAAGATTTCTTAATATGCACTTACAAATATCTCACTGAATGTAAGGTATTTTCACTGATTAAGTGCAGAGGTTTTTATTCACTTGCATGAATCTCAGCAGCCCGCGGATAAGCTTTCTTCACATGCCAATTTCTATCATATCATTGAATTCAGTGGCATATTGATATATCGCCTATGACATTCTGAATCTGATAAGATTATTGTCAGTAGTGATGTGAGGTTTTCAATCACTGAAAAACCAGTTGTCACATCTGTGGCACTTATTAATAATGCTGGTAAATCAGAACTGAAACTGAAACCTGATATTCATCTGATTGATAATGAAGATGCTTCTGATATTGATGATCCGAATTCCACATGATTGCGGCCCATGAAATCGCTGGCTACTTACACTTCAAGCCTCATTACAGGTAACCTCCCGAAGTTCTATAAGAACACCACATCTCAGCTAGAAGAGATAGAAGATTATTGGAAAAAGTTCATGCAACGCGAGATTACTGACCTGAAGAGATACAATACATGAAGTTTGATTTCTAGATCTGATGTTCTGAGAGATGAACTGATTGCTTCAGATTATTAAGTGTTCCTTGAGAAAGATAGATCTGTGAACTCAAATGCTGATTCTGATAATATTCTTAGAAAATCACATTGAGTGATTTGTGATAACTGATTTAAGAAGAATTCTAGAGAAGAGATCTATACTTCTGTTATCACTGATACTGCTAATTATATTCTTTTTGCAATAGCAGTACTACACAGTTGAACACTTCATCAGATGAATATAGTGATGATATATCTTTATAAGCATCTCACTAAGAAGGTCTATATGAGACAATTCATCAGATTTGAGACAGATTCACTGAAAACACTTGTCTGCATGATTGAGAATAGTCTATATAATCTGAACTCTGCAGTGAAGATCTGATATAATTACTTAACAGCTCTGTTAAGTGATCTTGAATTTACAGTCAGCACTCATAATTCAGTACTCTGATATTATACATTCAGATATCATCTCTATATAACAATCTACATTGATGATCTCAACATTATATCTGAAGCTTCTGAGAATGCTGATTGACTAGTGAGTATACTCAGTGAGAAATTGAAAGTCAAGAATCTACATCAGTTAACTAAGTATTTGAGTATAAAGATCAATTATTCAAACAAGAAAATTAATTTAATACATTGTCAATATATCAAATGCCTTGTTGAAGATTTCTATCTTGATAATACAGCTATTGCTAGAACATCTATAAAGAATAGATTTCATATTGATGATTTCTCTATATCTGAGAAAGAGACTGATTTCACAATTCAGTGATATTAACATGATATGAGTTGCTTGCAATATCTTGCAGTTAAAACATATTCTGATATCACTCACACTGTCTCACTACTCACTCAATGAAACATTGATTCAACACCTCAATGTTGAAAGGCTCTATTACACATTATACATTATTTGAAAGAGATCATGAATCTGAGTATTTTCTACAGATGCAGCCTGTATGAGAAGTCTGTTTCTTTCATTTCTACTGATTTTTTCATTTCTACTGATTCTTTCATTATCTCTGATTTCTCTGATGATTTCTACCTACTCTTCAGCTACTCGGATTCTGATTGAGCCGGCCTCTTGAATGATGATAGGAAATCAATATTCAGCTATATTTTTAAGCTCACAGACAGCCTGATTTCATGATGTTCAGCAAAGCAATCTTGTATATCTCTGAGTTTCAATGAGACTGAATATGTGACTCTTAGTGAGGCAGTCTGTGAAGCAACATGAATTCAGAACCTCATGATTAAGCTCAGCTTTATCACTACATCTCT